TCCATTCAGAAATGAACTTTTGACATCCATTTGATACAGCTTGAACCCCATGAATGCAGCAAAAGCTATTAAAATTCTAATAGCCTCCATCTTGGCAACAGGTGCAAAAGTCTCATCATAGTCTATTCCCTCTTATTAATTGTATCCTTGAACCACCAACCTGGATTTGTTTCTAGTAATCACTCCATTTTCATCAAGCTTGTTTCTGAAAACCCATCTGGTTCCTAGTACTGTTCTGCCTGCAGGTCGAGGAACCATGTACCATACCTTTCTTCTTTCAAACTGATGAAGTTCTTCTTGCATAGAGTTGATCCAATCTGCATCACTTAATGCTTCTTTCACATTCTTGGGCTCAATAGATGATATGAATTCTGAAAATGCAACTAGATTTCTTGTTTGTGATCTAGTATGAATTCAAGAGTTCAAGGGAGAGATAAGATTATCAAGAGGATGTGATAAACTATGCTTCCATCCTGATCTTGGAGCAGACTGGTTGAGCTGATCAGCATGTTCTTCTTCATCAAGAGAGACATCATTTTCTGGGGAGTTTGATGTACTCTGGATGGAATTATGAGTAGTACTAGGTACCTCATCACATTTTTCCACCTCATCAGCCTCTTCAGGTAAACTATGATTTTGATCATCACAGTCATTTTTCAGTTGTTGTTCTGCATCAGCTTCACTTTCTTCAATTTTCTACGAATTGAACAGTTTGATCATATTATCTTCATCATTTGATTCATTATTCTTCAAGCTTCCATTTCATCAAATAAAACATGAATGTTTTCTTCAATGCATTGAGTTTGTTTGTTGAATATTTTGTAAGCCTTACTGGATGAAGAATATTCAACAAATACTCCATCACTCCTAGGATCAAATTTTCCTAGATCATTCTTTCCATTGTTCAGCACAAAACACCTTCATCCAAATGCTCTAAGATAGCTCAACATAGGCTTTTTGTTGTTGAGCAGCTCATAGGGGGTCTTATTCAAAACAACTCTTATCAGACACCTATTGGTAACATGACATTCTGTGTTGACAGCTTCAGCCCATAAATTTTGAGGAAGATTTGATTCAATAATCATAGTTCTGGAAATGTTCACTAAGGTTTTGTTTTTTCTTTCCACTACTCCATTTTGTTGAGGACTTCTAGGAGCAGAGAAATTATGACTTGTACCATTCTCCATGCAGAATTTATCCAGTTTTGAGTTCTCAAACTCATTACCAAGATCAGATCGAATGTTGCAAAGGACTTGATTCAATTTAGTTTGAATCATTTTGAAAAACACCACCATTCTTCAGGTGTTTCTGCCTTTGATTTCAAGAATCTTGTCCATGTATATCTCGAGTAATCATCAACTATCACCAAAATGTATTTCTTGTCATTATTGATTTGACCCTTCAAGGGTCCACATAAGTCCATGTGAAGCAGCACTAGTGTTCTTGATGATGTTACTTGCTTTTTGGGCTTAAAGCAACCAATAACAACAAAATATATCTAAACTTAAGGAAGCTATTTGCTACATAAGCTTCTAAACCGTTGGAGGACTCTTCTACTAATATACAACAATAATAAACTCCTACTACAGGAGGAGTCTTCTACAGATACTAAAGGCAGTAACTATATCAGTAACTTACTATAAGACAAAATAAATATGCATAATACAGGTAACATTTTCTCAAAAATTAATTAAGCTTATTTTTATATCCCAACTTCCACAAGAAGTCCCAAAAGCAGTTTGGAAAAGAGTGACAACTCACTTGAGTTTTTGATTTTTTCAATGTCTTACCGATCAAATCCTTTGCGATGTAGTAACCTGACTGTTAGAATACGTTCGTCCACTAACATTTAATGGACCATGTCCCTTGACTCACTGAAAATAAGAACAAACTGTAAGTAAAGGCATAATAACAACACAAGCAATTTACGTAGAAACCTCCTTCCTCAAGGGAGTAAAATCACGACCTATCACACATGATTTTCAACCGTTTTTAGTAATCTTCACAAGAAAAGGTGAAACCGATTACAAAAACGTGAGAGAAAGTTTTAAGTCTCACAACCAAGCAATAACTCTATTGCTTGAAGAGCCTATGCAAATATGACTTTGCCTACTAAGCTATCACCACTAGAAAACGTAGAATTCCCTAAGGAACTCGCAGGTTGCCCACTAAATCACCACACAACTGAGGATCTAGAATTTACTAAGCAACACACAAGGTTGCCACTAAGATAGTTGAACTTAACTAACTTAGAATTTACATACCAAAGCAAACTAACTCCTTTATATGTTTAGGAACATATTACAATTGTAGATCAGAAGAAATGCTCCTAAGAAAACTAAGCTTCCAACTCTTTCCGTTTTGAGTTGCTCTTCGGAATATTTCTTCGTTTAGATTTCTCATCCTTTGCAAGTGTTATTGAGATGTTTTTTAAGTTGCAAAAGCTAAGATTGTGACAATTGGATGTTATGTTTACGTGAAATAGTCACAATCCTTAAAGCAATGTCATTGGTTGAGGTTTCTGTCGCGTCTGCCATTTCTGTCACTGTTGCAGAATGTGCACCAACTTTTTGTACTTTTTCCAGCTGGCAGTAAGAAGTGTGTTAAGCCCTGAGTTTGTCAAATCATCAAAACTACAAATAACACTGATTAAACTTCATAGTTCCATGTTTTTGTATGCCCATGGATACTCTTAGGGATGAAGCCATTATTATTTGGTATCCAAGGGTCAATCCAAACATTAATATTTTTTTCCATTAGAAATCCTCCATCTCAATCCTTTAGTACAAACATCTCTCCACAAAATAGTCTTCCATATCCAAGAACCTAAAGATGATGTTAAGAAAGGTTGAGTTTGGAAAATATTTGCTTTTAAGAACTCTTCCCCTTCCATCCTTTTATTTTCTTCCTTGACTCTTTCTTTATAACTCTAGCATCCTTTCTCTTGGAGCGTTCCACAACAATCGGTAAGCCTAAATACATATACATGTCATTTCTTTGTCGTTGGCTAAGCAACGACGATATCTTAACTTTCTCCACCTCTCTCACATTTTTACTAAAACAGATAACTGTTTTATCTAGATTAACCACTTGCCAAGAGCTTCATTCATATTTCTTTAAGATATTGGCTACACAACTTGAATTTTGATTTTTAACTGAACAAAACATAAAGGAGTCATCAACAAAAAAATATGAGTTTCGCCTCTACCAATGTCTATTCAACTTTAGCCCTTGGAATTCATTTTGTTCTTCTAATATGTTCAATAAGGTAGATAAACCATCATAAAATATTAAAAATAAATTTTATGGAAATCCATTTTATGGTTACAGTGGATCCCCTTCTCTTATCACTCTGGTAGGCTAATCCATTTGACAAATTTTTTATGGAAATCCATTCGTAAAAGTATAAATAAATCCATTCAACTTTTTCATAGGCTCTTAACAATCACTTTAACATGATTCAAAATACAATCCAAGTCTGTCGGGTTAGATGTAGAGAGCAAACTGTTATAATATTGCCCAACTTCTTGGATTATATCAGTTTGGTCTACCAGCCACCTCCCATGTGAAAGTATTGAAGTATTTTTATCCATCAACCATAAACCTCTAGAATTCTGTTTCAAAAAGTTCTCTTCATAGTTATAGGCTTGGCTTAGTTACCTTTTCAATAACCTTAATTTACCCATTAAAAATTACTAGTGTTGTTCCTAAGGGCTGTAATATTCCCCTTCATGTCAATAATTCTCTCCAAAGTTCTACAAATATGTATGATTTTAAAGCTAACTTGAGATTTCTCAAAGCCATTACAATCATACGATCAAGCTTTTGAAATAATATTTGAACTCCTTCACTCTCAATCCACCTTCTATCAAAGTAAAATTGTTTTATCTTCCTAATTGGTTCCACATCAGAAGACAACATCAAGGAAGAATGATCCGATGCCTCAGTTTCAATATGTTGCACATTCACATTCTCGAATTTAATTTTCTAATTAGGAGTGACTAAGACAAATCTAGCCTTTCTTGGATTATACCCTCATTTTCCTTGTAACACCACCATGTCCAAGGTTTTCCTTTATAACTTAAGTCAAATGCACCTAAGTTCCATATAAAATTCTTAAAGTCTCTAAAGGTCCAAGTATCTCTACTTCTTCCTCTTTGTTTTTCCGATCCATCAATAATATCATTAATGTTTCTATGCATTTTTTAACTAATTCTTGCATACGATATCAACAAGTGACTCTATCTGTACTTACATACACAAATAAACACCAATATTTGCAATCAGCTGAGCCATCTTCTATCAAAGTTGTGATGTAAAAGGAGAAGAATCTGATTCACATAACTGGATAGTGTAATTCCAAAATAAAGCTAGGCCTCCTAATAACCCATCGTCAGCTCCACAGTTACAGCGTGCACCATATTTACTAATCTTTGTACCCTCTTAACCGTGTTTCTCTACTTTTTTGTTTCACTTAAGAAAATCATTCTTGGAGAGTGAAGACGCATTGTCTCCTCCAAAAAGGAAATTGTCAATGATCCTGCCAGGCCTCGACAATTTCACACCATAGTCCTCATTGTGAAGAATAAAGCCATACGTCTCTCCTCTAATAATCTTTCTGCAATGTGAAAGACAAGAAGGAAGCTCCGTCTCTGTCCCCTCCCTTCTGTCCAAGATCTTGAATCAGATTCCTTCCTCTTTGCTAGGCGAAAGGGAAGCCATTTAGGGCTGGCCTCTCGCTCCACCATTATTATTTTTTTGTTGTTATATCAATACAAAAAGAATTGTTATTCTTTCATTTATCCCCTGTAGCTTGTACTCCTTCCTCTATAATAACATGATAACCACAATTTCCATTATCTTTAACGTTGTATCCTTCTTTAAACTATTAGAAACACAAACTAATCTAGTCCTCCGTTTCCAATTTATCATTTTCTCCCCTTCATTCTGATTGTCATTCCTTAGTTGCTTAAACTTATTATTTTCATTACAATGTTCAAATGCCAAGCACTCAGAATAAGCCTCAAGAGCAAAAGTACATACCTTGTCTTTTGTTACAGCTTGTATGGTATTGATTCCTTTATGGCCTTCTATTTGATTTTTTTTTGTGCAAGGAATTCTCGTCACTTCCCTTAAGACCTGCAGTTTTTTTGCATTCATTTTGACATAATTTATGGGCATTATGTTTCTTTATACCCATCTGTGTATTAGTTGAGTTAACTCTTTCTTGTATGTGTATCAAGCTATTTCCGGTTCCTACATCTCTTTTCCTCTCAATCAATTTGGATTTTTTAGTTTTCATTAGATTATGCCCCTCAGTACTATTTACTTCTTCATGTCTATTGGGAAAAATACTACAATATTGATAACTTATCAAAAACACTGTATCGTGGCAAGACACTTCCTTGAAAGCGATTTCGGCTCAACTTTGGTGCAAATCGTCGTAGCTGGTCTTTCTTTCTTATTAGTCAAGCGCTAACGAGCAAGAAAGGGTATGCGCTAAGAAGCAAGGGCTTTTGTGCAGCTTCTGCACCCCAAAATCTTTATAGATAAAGCCAATCATTAATTCCCCACCGTGGGGCGAATGGAATCCGATACATAAATCAGTTAACAAAAAAATAGAAATAGCTTTGACTAAAGAAGGTTGATTCCCCTAAGCGACATCGAAAAGGGGGCGAAAAGAGTCTATTTACCTTTACAATATTTCGGAATGTATCATGGCTCTATCTATTCATTAAAAAAGAAAAAAGAGTTCTGCATCTCGGGTGAACAAATAGGCGTGGGGAATAGAATACAAGTGTTGAGTACCAGCTTCTACTCTTGTGAAAGGTGGGCGGGCCTGACCTCTTCCTTTCTATCTAGAAAGTGAAAATCCTTGCCGGTGTGACAGTATGAGTAGACGGTGCTCTTCTCCAAGGTTCTACAGTTACTGTCAAACACGTGCACTCGTGGCTGAAAGTATGGAGTTTCACAAAAATAATTGCCCAGAAATCCTCAATGGGATGAAGGATTATTCAAGCCAATAAAAGGAAATTGTTGAGGGAGAATAAATGAAAGATAGGACTTGTATTTTTCTTCTCTGTGCTTAGCTCCCAAATGATACTTTTTAAATAGGAAAATCATTTATTTTTCATCCATCAAAAGAATGTAACAAACTAACGTATAATTAATGTAATGAAACATAACTCTCACTTTAATGACAAATTTGTCATAATACAAAAGTAACTTCAAGTCTTCTGAATATTTTCTTACAAAGTTTGGAAACTGAAACCTGAGATAAATGTGAACCATTAATGATGAAGTAACTTTCCTATTTTACATATACTAACGACTTAGCAATGTTCACATAGATTAATTACGGAGAGTTAAAAGATGCAACTTATCCTTTGCATTAAAAGAAAAAGAATATTATCCACAATGTCTATTTTAATCTGCTGAAGCGACACCATTCTCTACTTTTAGCCATGCCCCAAACTAATCCTTTTTTAGTGTGTCTGATCATATATCTTTTGCTCTTGGGACACAAGTTTTCTCTGAGTCCTAGTATACCGCAATACAAACAAGCATAACGAAGATTCTCATATCGTAGTTCAACACATGTAATGTCCCCTCTTAATTTGATCAATGTAGCGTACCCAATCTTATGCTTTCCATGCTTTCCTTATCCTTAAAACTAATTGAAAAAAATGATATATCGTATTTCCTTTATTTTAAATCCTACTGGGTTTTCTCGAACCAAATGTATAGTGTTCTTGATTCCTTGATAGTTAACCTTTTTATCCGATAACATCTGCTTTGCTAATTAATCTATCGAGGCACCAAAATGCTTGAGTTACATTTCATTTCCCAAAGAGATATTCTTTCTGTGTAGTATCAAGGACATGTCAAATTGACATACTTTCAGTTTTACTTATCAAGAACATTGATATGCTTTAGTTTTTTTATTCCAAATTTCTCCTTAACAAGTTTGTATAATTTACCACTCAACAGGTAAAACATTATCGCAAAGAGGATTGCCCATCAGAAGTTGGGAGCATATCTCAACAGCAGACACATCAAAGCATCAACAAATCATCATTTAAAAGAAGTGATTGCTTAAAGAAGTCAGAAGAGAGACTTTCTTCCAAATCATTGGCTATATGGAAATGCCCTCCCAAGGTAATCTTAAGTTGATATGATAGAAATTGTCTTTATTTGAATAGTTTCTATACATATTGTTTTGATAACCCCATTTATTGTTGTTATTTGTAGTTCCATCTGAATGAGAAATGGCTAGTGGTTGCTGGTGAAGAGAGTCAAGAAGCCAATAAGCAGGAGTATAGGAAAAGGAGGGTGATTGAGGCGGTTTTCCCTAACAAGTTTGCAATTCCTCCAAAGTAAGTAATTTTTGGATTACTTTTCAATGTTTTGTTGATTTCATTGTCTTAAGTTTACTTGGTTTTAATCAGTGAGTATTTTTCTTTCTTATTTAACAGTCCTTACAACTTGTCTGACCTGGAACAAGGTTATGATGATAGTCAAACTCCAGAAGTCAGCACCATTTCTATAGAAGAAGAAGAACCAACTCATGATTTGACAGTTCTTGTAGCCATAGCTGTAGCTACTCTTCAAGAGCAGGGTAGTCTAATTGATGCCAACATATTGGTTAGGCTTCTCCTCAACCTGATGAATGAACATGGCATGGCTACCAATGTTGTTTCTCTCAATGCTGCCCATGCAGGATCTGCAAAATCTATGCCCTTGACAATGACTCAGCCTGACATTAGAGAGAATAAGTCAGTAACCTATTCCCTTTCAGAGCTTGATCTCAAAAATATCAAGAAACTCATTAGCAAATATGGAGTACCTTACCATGCCGGAGGAGAAATTTCTGAGTTGGTTTCCCGATATTGTCCTACCACCTTGCAGCCTAAGTTGACTATTTCACCAAATGTTGGCCCTTCCTCCTCGATGACTAGTCACAAGGATATCAACAAATACTGCAATTCCCTAATCAAGCAACGTGGAGAAAAAATTGAGTCTATGGTTGATGAAAGCTTACAAAAACCAATTCCGTGCAGCTTGACACCTTGTATTTTCTTTGATAAACCTAAGGGATGTCGTAAAGGATTCTCCTGTCACTTCCGGCATGATATATTTGGTAAAAAGAGGTATGGAAGGACATCAGAAGGTCGGGATTCAAAGAGATTGAAGTAAAGTGGGGAACATTAATATGGAATGACTCCAATAGGTTTTCTTTTTTGCTTTTAATAGAGGGAAAAAGTGGTAAAGGCAGTTGCACGGCTGTTTAAACAAAAACACTCACTATGTTTTCCCTTTCCTTGAGATGCAGACTTTTAAAACATTAGAATCAGATTTTTGCTTGAAAGGAATTTTCCTTTGAATTTTTATGAAGCATTGTTTAGCCTTAACAATATTTCTGTTCCGATAAATAATTGTTTTGCTCTCTAAATTGCAATCGCAGTATGGCATAGGCTATAGCCGTCCCCCATTTTAAAAACTAAAACATCCAAGTTATGTACTGTTGATATTCAATAATGAATTCAAGATGTTAATTTAAATTTTAATTTGATTGAACGGGAATCAATAAGGTATGGAAGCATTTGATAGAACAAAGTGTATTAAATTCTTTCAAGCCAGTGAAAATTGTACTAGCGAATAATAACAATAATGAGATGATTAAATTACCCTTTAATATAAGCGAGTAAGAGACGGACGAACAATGCATCATATAGTATTACAAAAAGCATTCTAAAGTGTACAGTGAATGCTTTAATATTTTGCTCTGTCTGGCCCAATTTTACTAGACATAGTCCTTTTATCTACATGTGTAATAAACTGAAATCATCTCTTCTCTTTGATAGTTTGATTTTCTATTACTTTCTCTTCCGAGTTCTTGAATTGGTAAGCCTTTTTAACCTTTTGTTTTCATCATTTGAATTGCTGTTTGTTCCCCTTCTTATTCTTCTCACTCCTTTTTTTTTCCTTGGCAAGTTTACCTTTTTGATAGTCACAATCTATTGGGTGTTCTACTTCTGCTTCTTTTATTTAGTATTCTCCGCTTTTTTAGTAGTTTATTGTAGAATTTTGTAATTTCTTGTTTCTAATTGGGTTTTGTTTACTCATGCATGTTTCAAAATTGTTTTTACCCTTGATATTCCTCTCGCTATTTTCTTCTCTAGCAGGGCTTCTCACAATCGATTTTGGAATTTCATTGTTTTTTACCCTCTTTTTTACATGATAAACACCTCTAAATTTTTTGTTAGCTTTTTCTAATTAATGTGAATTTTGATATGTTATTGAAGATGATCCTTTGGGGGGATGGGAGGAACTGAAAAAAAAAGACCTATACATTTTATTCTGGAGCATTAACTGACCATAAAATTGTATGTTATAATTAAAAATTAAATATGCAAAATACATATAAATAGAAAACTCCAAATATTAGTAGGACCTATATGATAGACACGAAAAAGTGAAGATATATAGAATGATTTTTAAAGGATGGTTAAGATTCATGAAATGAAATGATGCCATGTCGGAACATGTAATTGATTTTAGAGTTGGAAATAGTAGTGTAAAGAGTCACATGATGCTGGTGAGGGATATCCAAGATTTGCTAGAGGAACTCGACCAAGCTGTTAATCATGGAGGAAATGAAAGCAAAAGTTGTTGTGTTTGGATCTTCAAGCGCAGGTCTGAAACTCGAACCATTCATACCATCAAAAACAACAAAAGGCGAGTCTTCTTAACAACCTTCCGTTAAAATTTGGTTCTTCTCCTGACTTTTAAATTAATATTGATTGAAATATAATGCGACTTAGATTTGCTACTTTCCCCATTGTCTTGAATGTGCTTATGTTGTCCAATAGAAAAAGATATTTTCGTCATTTTGAAATTTTAGTATTGAAAACGACAAATAAGTTTGGGTTCTCAGATGAATGATATAGTCTCTCGGCTAGGTTATACGGATCTTCACTTACGTTGACACATCCGTGTCGAATTCTTTAAAATACATTACTTTTTAAGAATTCAATATAGGCACTCGGTAGTGTGAACCATCAATAGGAACTATATGGACTGAAATAAAAAAAATGGTGTGTTGGTTATTCAAATTTTGTTGTTGCCTCAACGTTCCAGATATACAGGTAAATTTATATGCGCACTCTATTAGATTACCTGAAACAACATTAGCTTTAACCTCATGATATTAGTTGATTATATTTGAATTTGATATTTCATCTTTTTGTATTACGGGAAAAGGGTCTGATATACCCCTCAACTTTCTCATTTAGAGCTGATATACCCCTCGTTATAAAAGTGGCACATATATGCCCTTATCGTTAAACAAACGGCTCACATATACCCCTGCCGTTACAAAATGCCTCACATATACCCTTCATTTAACGGAAGTTAAAAAATTAGTTTTAAATTTATATTTATTACTTGTAATTTTAAAAAAAAATTTTTAGGGGTATATATGATTCTTCTATCAAAGTTCAAGGTATATTTTTATTTCATACATAAATTATTTTTCGACTTCTTTTATTATAATTATTTGAGTTACTCATTCTTATTTTATTTTTTCTTTCATTCCTTAGTTTAAAGAAAAAAAATTAAACTATTTTTTTGTGTGTATTGTAATTTAATTTCATATTCGAAGAAAAAATTTGGTCATCTACTATAAGTTTTACAAGAATATTAGTGAAACATAAATAAATTTGAATATCAAAATAATAATTATAAATTAGTCATTGAAAAAAAAGTCAAAAAAAATATGTTTGACGAGTACTAAATTAACTCATATGAGATTATATTTTTTAGAAAAAAATAATAAAAATTTAGATTAAAATTATTTTTTTTTCAATTCCGTTAGAGGAAAAGGGTATATGTGAGTCATTTGTTTACAAGTAGGGGTATATATGAGCCACTTTCATAACAAGGGTATATCAGCTCTAAATGACAAAGTTGAGGGGTATATCAGACCCTTTTTCCTTGTATTATTGTTGAAAATTATGAGAGGCTACGAGGACTCTATGTAGTGTTGTTATGATTAGTGAGGTCTGTCAGTTTATAAGTGATTTTCTATTTTCCTTGATCGGTGAAATCCAATATCCATTTGCATGAAATCTCAGCTACTGCTTCTCTCTCACTTTCACACACAGATTTTTTGTGTTTACTAATTGGGGATGTGATGAGATCTCGAGAAAGTCCATGCGCCACTCTCATTAATGATTCTGAGCTCTTAAAAAAATTCATTTGCATATGATAACTAATACAAGTGAGCATATATATATATATATATATATATATATTTTTACTACAAAACACATGTTATTCTATTTTATTAGGCTCCTGCTAAAGCTAAATGTTTGTAGTTTCTTTAATACAAATTTTCTACAGTTTCATTTTATGTGAAAAAATAGAGTGAAGGACGAGCTTGCAAGTTGCAAATAAATAAACAAAAAGTATATTGAAAAATGCACACTTATCATGATCTTCAGTTTCCTGGAATTACGTTTTGCATATTTAGAAATGTTTACAAATACGATATAATGTATCATGGGTATTCCTTTATCCTATAATCGCGGAATTAACAATTTATAATATTTAGACGTAAAGCAGGGTTGTAATTATGTCAACTTAAAGAAAGCACAAGAGTGGACAAGCTGAAGGTAAAACTCAATATGTTCTCGGGATCACTAGAAACCTTTTGTCTGCTTCAGCTGGATGATGTACAAAATTAAATTTGTATGATTATAAATTCAAGTTGTTTGACGATGTGTCCAAGTTATCATATTTGGAATAGTCTTACTCCTTTTTATAGCATACCAAGAAAATATCTAAAAAACTAATGATCGTGCCTGAGTCAATAGCTCGAGTGATAGGCCGGTGTTATTGTCTCAGGTCAGTAGTGTCCTCACGAATCTCAAATGCAATGTGGTTAATGCTAATGTGTGCGCTCATAACGCCCAACAATAGCTAGGTGAGGAAATGGGAGGTACAGTTAATGATCCGAAAAAAATATTCTATGATGAAGCAACTATTGTGAAATATACTTAGAGGTAGCGATAAATTAAGGAATTCCAAGGGTTTCTCATATGTCGAGAGAAGAGAATCACCAACTAATGTTGGCATACCAAGATTATGAACGTGTTGTTGGTGAAGGATTGAATGAAAAAGAGAGGCCTAATATGAGTGTCCTTAATTGGTAAGATAAAGACTACTCTATTGTGACAATCCGGTGAAAGGATAAACCAAAGCTTCTCTTTGATATAATTTTTACATTGCCGATATTGCATATGTGATTTTCCATGGCAATGTTGATGCTGAAGGACCAGTAGTGCACCAGGTACTACAATTTTCTATTCATTACGAAATCTCTTTCATGGTTTAATTTTATGAAAATTTATGAACTAATATTACAAACTCTGTTCTCATTGAAGGATTATTTCATTAGACATATTAATGAAGTTGCCTTAGCTACAATAAGTTATCACAATTGGTCATTTGAGATCACAAACAATGTCCAAGTTAATCTTATATTAAAGGTTTTAACTATGAATATTGTTTTGTTAACCATTTGTATTTGTTGGGAGTTGTGATGGGCATCTTCTTAGACCACTTATTTTTCATGGTAAATTCCTCTGTTCATTCTTCCAAAAACTTTCCAACATAGGGAGCTTGCTTTGACGGGTGGTGGGCAGGCGAAGGGTCCAAAGGACAAATAAGGTAGTGAAGCGAAATGTAGTTTACAATGTAGTTCATTTATGGTAGGAAACTTGACTTTGATCATTGATGCATGGGAAGATGAAATAAATGAAGGAATCGTTTGGTTTGAATACAAATAGAATTTTTTATATTAGCAAAATAATATGCATGATATAAATTTTTTATGTTGGCAAGCTTTAGAGCTCCCATCCAAACAGACTCTTTGTTATTTATTCTTAAAAATATTTTTTTCATTTTATTTAGCTTAAATATTTACTGTTTGTATTTTATAATATATAGTACACTATGTATTTAAAGAAGTAAGGATTAAGAATGTCTCTACACGATGTGAAAGTACAAAGTTGTTCTCCGTTTATAGTTTGACTTAAACATGACCTTACCTTCAATACTTTGTTTCAAAAATTTCCATTAGAAATATATATTCATCATAAGAAATATTTTCATGTTTTATTTTATCTTAACAG